TGTCTTTCTCAAGGACCTGGGAGAAATCCCTTTGAAATGTAATCATCAAGGAAGATAGTACCACATCTCCCAGTCTCTGTGGGAGGGTAGGAGCCTAACTTCAGTGGGTGCCTTGCTCCAAGTTGCAAAATTACCTCCTGTCATAAAGGTATGAGCAATTTATTTTTCCCCTGGATAAAGCCAATTAGCAAACACAGCTGGCCTCTGACTTCCCCCTAACGTCCTCTAGTACTTTCCCACTAGCTCACCTGTGTGCCTAAAAACCCTCCTGCCCTTGTTTCAGTGGAGTTGAGTTCAGACTGAGTTCTGGCTTCTCTCCCCTATTGGAATAGGCTTGAATACAGTCTTCCTTGCCTGTTTAACTTTGTTTGGTGAAATTTGTACTTTAATGGAAACAAAGATGGCTGAATGAAAATATTTGGACAGGAAGTGTGGAAGTATTTGAGTTAGGCATTCTGAATTGCCTGGTGCATCGTTAAGACCAGAAGGACATAGTTATTAGGGTCCCTTGAAGAATAAGGTCTACTTAATTGACTCTGATGATTGAGTTTCTAATTTTAAGTCAGGTTTTCCCTCTGCTGAACAGTCTAATCAACTAAAGATCCATGTCAGCCTCATTACACAGAGCCTCTAAATTGTATTAAAATGGCAAACTCCAACTCCTTCCCAATGCCATCCCAAATTGGTCTGAGAGGAAAGGTTAGTGGAGCTTTGGGACAGTAAATGTCACAAAGGGGTGATCAAACAGTGGTGTTTGACTTCTCTCCAATGATGTGTATTGGCTTTGAAAAGATTTTCTGATTTAATATATCCTTTGCCTCCACTTCACTGACAACAATCAAAATATCTTGGAAAAGAGGTTGTTCAAGCATACCTCAGAGCTATTGTGGATTTGGTTCCAGATCACTGCAAAAAGCCAACATTGCAATAAAGTGGGTCACAAATTTTTTGCTTTCCCAGTGCATGTAAAAACTATATTTACACTATACTATAGTCTATTAAGTGTGCAATAGCATTATGTCTAAAAAACTGTACATACCTTAATTAAAAAATACTTTATTGTTAAAAAATCCTAGCCATCATCTGAGCCTTCAGCGAGTTGTAACCATTTTGCAGATGGAGGGTCTTGTAAAAAACACAGTATCTGTGAAGTTCAGTAAAGTGAAGCACAATAAAACAAGATAAGCCTGTATGTGAAAGAGTGTGTACGTGAAAAAGAAAAATGGAAGCATCTCCAGTCTTCCCTCAGTCTGATATATTCTCAATCATTCCATGCTACCCCACTACAAATTCAATAGGGGAGTCCTTATCCATCCTTCCAAAATTAATTGAAGTATTTGCTCTTCTATAAAGCTTTCCTAGAAACCCTACACCTGACTCTAAGCCGCCGTGTATGTACTTCTATCACAGCATTGCCTGCCACGTTGCAATTATTTCTTTGTGCATGTGTCTCCATGAAGTCAAGGACTATATCTTATTTAGCTCTGTAGCCTGATCACCTACCACAGTGCTTGACACACAATAAATGCTCAATAAACATTGTAGAGTGATAGATTTAGTTCATATCCTCATTTTCAACCTAAAAAGCAATTAGGTTTGAGATATATGCTCAGGATTTCATAATTGGGCTTATATTACAAAGTTCTAAGCAATAGTAATACAATAACACAATTTACCATTCTATTTAGAACTCTACCACTACACACCTTACTATCCTATGTGGCACCGTAGAAAACTACTCCTGCTCAACAGTCAGTGGGAGGCCGAGAGTAATGAGTTCTGAGTGGCCCTCCACTCACTGAGAGTCAAAAAAGCTATGACCAGGGGCCGGCCCGGTGGCCGAGTGGTTAAGTTCCTGCACTCTGCTTCAGCGGCCCAGGGTTTCAATGGTTCGGATCCTGGGAGCAGGCATGACACTGCTCATCAAGCCATGCTGAGGCAGCACCCCACATGCCCAACTAGAAGGACCCACAGCTAAAAATATACAACTATGTACCGGGGGGCTTTGGGGAGAAAAAGGAAAAAATAAAATCTTTAAAAAAAAAAAAGATATGACCACCCTTTATTCAGGAAGGTAACATGTTTTGAGTTCTTTCACCATTAGGGAGACGAGTTTGGCCTAATGGAGGTAATTTATGGAGGAATTGACTAGGTCAAAGCAGAAGTCAAAAGGCGGAGACATTTTACTCTCAAGTGCCATTGCCTTTTCTCCATTTTTTCCCACAAAGAATGCTGAGAGTTAACGGGCTCAGATGGATTTCAGCATTGTGTTAACAAGGCCAAAATCAAGATTTAGGACTCCTTAAGAGTTTTGGGCTTTTTCGTTTTTCTGTTTCATGTCTGCTCTCAGTCTATTGCCACATCAGGAACTATCATCATCATCAAGTATATGCTAAGTTAGCAGCTACATAACCCAGGCATTAATAACACAAAGAACTGTACAACATAATCTCTGCCCTGTCAAAGCTGAGAAATCCATAAGGAAGACCAAGGAATGGATAGATCACGCTTCTATTTCCAGAGATACAGGTCTTTCAGATTTCTTCTTTTGATAATGTCCAGATTCCAATTGGTAAGATTTCCAGATTCCTCTTTGTGATATTGAGGTTGCAAAAAGAATCCCAAAGATAGCCAGGATTTCAACAGTCCTCAGGATAAAGCTCATTTCTAGATTCTAGCTCCAAAAGGTCATGGTAAAGCATGTTATATCTCTGTGCTCACCCAAATCTGCACCCTACACATGGTGAAATGAAGCAAAATCTTTCCCATGAGGATTTGTGAATCGGAACTCACTCTCCCATGTGGTGATCTGAAACTACATGAGGGCTGTGTGCTGACTGAAGGTGATGTTGAGGTGAACTGGGGAGTGCCTACTTTTAGCTCAGGGCTGCCACTTGGTTTCCTGATACTTTCTCTACTTGAGTTTATCTCCACCACTTTCCTCTCGGTACTTCTGCCCTCCACATAATGCCATTTACACCACAGCGGAAGTGTAAAAGGAGGGGTGAGGCTGAAGAATTTCTTTAGGTCATTGCCAGCCCTGCTGAGGAAATAAGTTGGAGTAAATTTCTCAATCCCCAGAGGACCTGATCATGCCAGTTGCCCACACTTGTCTCAGGCGACTAGATCTGCAAGTGGAACCTGGCATCATTCCCTGAAATGGCTCATGGTGTTCCCTGAGCATGAGAGAGACAGAGGATAAGGTAGAGAATATCAGTCCTATTGGCAAGAGTGAAAACAACCAAGTATATATTAAATGTGCCTATAAAATTCCCAGTCTCTTGTTCCAATGAGTTTCAATGAGAGGGCACACATAAAAGAATTTAGAAAAATATTAAGCCTACGTGTGGAAGGTAACGTTACTTCTATCTTGTGTTTACTTTGTAACGCCCCCCGTCGTCACTAATTCTCCACATCACAGGGAGGGAAACAAACAGAGAAAAGTTAATACATTGAAGATCAAGTGTGTGATAATTTTCTCCTTGTTCCCCGACTTCCACGCTCATTCTCGTACTCACCCAACAAATATTTAGTGAGCCCTGATTCTGTGAAAAATATTGTTTCTTAAAAATAGTGTAATATTTATCAATTAATTCTAATCTTGTGGTTACATGGCAATTTTTTCTTTCTTTTTTTTTTTGCTTTTATTTTCCCCTGATCATCCCCTTAGACCCTTCTGAATAGAAGGCTAAGAAATGTTTTTCCACAGTCACATAGCAAGTCAGAAAAGCCTTGGAATTTGAGTCCAGCCCCCTTGAATCCTCTCTCCACCAGGTCACGTTGCTGCTAATTGTGGTCTTAGACCATCAAGACTCTTTAGCTTTTCTAACAAGTGCATCCACATTAACAAATTTGGCTAATTTTTTTTCTTTTTTTTCTCTTCCATCTCTTTCTTTTTTCTCCTTTTCTTTTCTTTCAGGCAAAATAGATTTGTATGTTGTCAACCAAATTAAGAAAAATCTTCCTTTATCCAATTCACAAGTTTGGCAGAGAAATCCAATAAACGTACTCACCGTCTTATTACCGTATCTTTAAAATCCAATTGTTGAAAATTAATGTAAAACAAAAACAAAATTAAACTTCAAAAACATGGCAGTGTGAATTGACTTTAACAGCATTTTACAGAGGAGTTGTAGCCATTCTCTAGTATTAATGACTCACTGTTGCACTTAACACATTACAAAATGCTTTCAGACAAATCTCATTTGAGAATCTCATATAACCCTTTGAGAATGAAAGCCAAAGCAGGATTCATGCTCTCCATTTCATGGGAGATTAAGTAGACGTGGAGAATTTAGTGACTGATGACGTAAGGTCACACAAGTTCTATTTGGCAAATCCAGTCTTCCTATACTACTAATGCATTTTCCCAGAACAACAATTCTTTGAGAAGAATTTAGTTGTATTGAGCGAAACTAAACTTGCTTCTATATCACACAAGGCAGAGCCATGTGATGCAGGCACTAGAAGTTTCTTACACCATTCTCCCATCGTTGAAACAAACTTGACCAACCGTGAGCAAAAGTGAAATGCCCAGGAAGTTTGTCATTTGAGATTCTGTCATTCTCCTTCATCCTTTTCCCTCCATTTGCCACCCCTATCTCCCACCTTCAGACACCCTTTGGCCTTCTGCTTACTTCACACTTCTCCACCCATCCAAACAGAAAAAGCATTTCAAAGATCTACATGTTATCCTTCTGGTTGGATAAGGGCATAAAGGAACCATCAGTAAGGATAACCACTGTGTGTCCCTAAGGAGATGGCTCTTTTTCCCTTTGGAGGAATTGTTGCACATATGTAATGTGTATGCGTGTGCAGAGAGGTAGGTTGAAGGAACAAAGGATGAGTTGAAGGATGTTCCTGATGTCCAGAAAAAAATTATAAGCTTTATATATTATTTCTACCACTGAAAAACTCAGCCATTCATATAATCATTGACTCAATATTTATTAATGCAATAATTTAATGAATACCTACTCTGCATCTCTTCTATATTTTAGGGATCCACTAGTACTCTCCCAGGCTATTGTGCTAGACAGACATATAAATGGATAATTGCAGCATGGAGTGAAAAAAGCATAATGATGTTGGTAAGTACTATGCGTAATAGTGGCACAAAGAAGGAAGTAATCAAGTTGTGAGATGGAGGTCAGCAAAGGCCTCTCAGAGAAGAAGATATTTCAGTTGGAGTTACAAAGAGGAATAAAACTTAGCCCACCAGATATTCCAGGCAGAGAAAGCACTTGCAAAGACATGAAGGCCTGAAATGGACTGGCACATTCAGGACACTACAAATAGTCCAGTAATGGAAAGGACTGGTGAAGGGAGAGACTGAGAGCAATCAAGATCATGGAGAGATGTGTATGTCATGGGGAGTATACTTGTGTTGTTTTTGCCTGACCAACACCTCTTCCTCCTTAAAGTGATGATAGCACCCTAATTTTCTTTGGGGAACTACATTTTCCTGCTTGTGACCTTGGGTAGTCTATCTTTCATGGAAACCTCCTAGAGACAGACAATGACTCAAGTCACTGACCCTAGCTACTCAGTCTAGGGTTCTATCTTCCTTGACTACAGTGATCAGTTCAATGCACAAGACCCAAACTAGACCAACAAGAGCCCTTCCTGATTTGACATATGGAAATTGGGATAGAGGGTCATTTTTCCTTTAGAATCTTGAACTGCGTGGATCATGTATGCCTGGAGTTGTAAATAGCTACCTTCTCCAGCTGACTACAAGTTGTCTGCTAAGTTAGGTAAATGCACTGAGGAAAGTAGAAGCCAGGGACAGAGAGCTAGAGAAAGAAAGATGGAGCCCTGGTGATATCACTTGAGCCCTGTGCCTGAAGCTTTTGATCAGTTCCTGACCATGGGTTCTAATTGAGCCAATTTAAATTGAATTTCCTTCACTTGTACCAAAAAAGTTCTCAATATTAAACCATGCTAAGGACTTTGGACTTTGTTATCTGGGCAATGAGAGTATCTTCAAAGTCTGAGGCAGTGAATAGATTTGTGTTTTAGAAAGCATATGCTGGCAACAGTGCAAAGAACGGGTAGGAATAAGGAAGGGGTTGTCCAGGAGCCCAGTTAAAAATCTAGTATGATATTCTAGATAAGAGACCAGCAAGGCCTGAACCAAGGCAGTAGTAGTGGGCATGAATAGGAAGAATCTATTTTGAGGAAGATTTAAGAGGTAATTAAATGGGTAAGGGGTGTGAGGGGGAGGAAGGGTTTAGGGATTATTCTTGGCTTTATTGCATGGATTTTTAGGTTGGATGGAGTTCTGGTCAACCAAAAGAGAGAATCCAAGAGGAGATAAATATTAGGGGTTGGAGGAGGTAAGTTCATCTAGGGAACTTTTAAACTTAAGATTTTGTGGCACATCCATATGGAGATGTCCTGGGGGCAGTTAGTTATATAGTTCTGACACTTGGGGATAAGATTTGGGCATGAGATCCAGACTTGGATGTCATCACTATACAGATAATACCAGAAGCTCTTGATGTGGAAGAGATTACCCAAAGAAACTGAGGAACGAGGAGAAAAGAAGACCAAGGACTGAACTTTGAGGAATGACAGCTTTTAAGAGTGAGCCTGTAATGGAACTGGAAAGGAGATGTCAGAGGGATGAGGGAGGAATCTTGAGAGAGTCATGTTCCAGAAGCTAAGCTACTGAGAGAGAAGTAGTCAATGGCATAAAATACCTCAGAGATGTCAAGTAAGGTAAAGACTGTGAAGTGTCCTTTATTTGACTATTTGGAGGTCTTCTGTGACTGGAGCCTAAGCACTTTCAAGGGAGTACAGGAGCCAGAAAGACAAAACTTCGTAATCAGAGTAAATAAGAGAAAGTGTTTCCATACAACTGTACCTTCCTGGTATTTTCAGACAGTATTGATTACATGCAGAATTTTGCTACCTGTTATATCATATGGAGGGCAGAGCAAGCAGAATTTTACAGAAAATTGTTAGTCTTTTATTGTGAACTCTATACTTCTGATGTGAAAAATATCTGGTGAGAACAGGGTTATGTCATAGACAATTTCAGAAACCCAAAATACACGTCTTTCAGAATCATCTAGTTGCTATATTTGTGTCTATTTAGACTGTTCTTCACCATGTCAGGTATCACCTGGCTCTCATTCAGGCTAAGCGCTTTAATTCTGATCAAATAATAACAGTTTACAAGTCAGAGACATCATTTAAAATGATGAATTACTATCTTTGGCTCAATCTAAGTTCACTTGAGCTGAGGATTAGATTGAGGTTTCTAGCTATGTATCTTAACACCCTCCTTAGAGATCTTGTGTGTGTAAATCACACAACCACAGAATTAGGCCTTAAGGTTAAAAAGATACGTATATATATATGAGTGACTATATATACAATTTTTATGTGTGTGTGTGTGAGGCAGATTAGCCCTGAGCTAACATCTGTTGCCAATCTTCCTCTTTTTGCTTGAGGAAGATTGTTGCTGACTAACATCTCTGCCAATCTTCCTCTATTTTATAAGGGATGCCACCACACCATGGCTTGGTGAACGGTGCTAGGTCCACACCCAGGATCCGAACCAGTGAACCCTGGGATGCCAAGGTGGAGTACATGAACTAGACCACTATGCCACTGGGCCAGCCCTGTGAATGACAATATTTTTAAGACACTTTAGATAACTCTGGCTCTAAATGGAAAGTGCAGAGAAGAGAAAAAGAAAGGAGAAGATAAAAGATAAAATTACAGAAGAGGAAGAAAAGGGAAAAAAAAAATCAAAAGGTAATCGTCACCATGAGAGTATTGTCTAGGAGCTCATGTAAAAAAAACACCTGAAACGAAGGCCTTTACAACAGCAGAAAACTTGGCTGCAGTATGGCCTCATTGCAAGCTTTCTACTCTCTCTGGGCTTTCCTAGCATAGGAAGTATGCAAAAAAATTAAATGGCCTCACTGCCCTTTAAAACTACCTAGAAGCCTCATGTCAAGAAAACCTGACTACCGGGGCTGGCCCCGTGGCCGAGTGGTTAAGTTCGCGCGCTCCGCTGCAGGCAGCCCAGTGTTTCGTTAGTTCGAATCCTGGGCGCGGACATGGCACTGCTCATCAGACCACGCTGAGGCAGCGTCCCACATGCCACAACTAGAAGAACCCACAACAAAGAATACACAACTATGTACCGGGGGGCTTTGGGAAGAAAAAGGAAAAAATAAAATCTTTAAAAAAAAAAAAAAAGATTAAATGAACTAGAATATGTAAAGTACCAAGACCAGAGTCTTGCACAGAGTACTCACTCAATCAGTTGCTATTGTTTTATCATTATTAATGTTGTCATCAAAAAGAAAGGGGATTTTTCTTGGAATTTTTGCTTGGGACCCTATTATTTTATCTTGTCCAACTGAATGAAACTAATTACAGGTGCTGTGATAGAAGGACACACACTAAGCCCCAGATTATTGAGAAATCCTCAGCCTGGCCAGGCCCTGGTGAGTATAACTTCCAGTATCTCGACCTTTGCACTCTCTGTGGGTGCTCAGGAAATGAGAGAGGATTTATAGAATGTCCTCCCCACTTTTTCTAATTATGGTTTTATTTCTTGTCAAAGGGAGAATATTTTCCTACATGTCACATCCTCAACTTTGATATATTATCCAAGATAAGTTACAGCAGCAGCTCTTACTTCTCCAGATGTTAGCTCCTACTTGGGTGGCTGAATAGCTTTCATCCTTGAGACCAGAAAAAGTCTCATCTTCAGAAACAATGCTATGATGCACTAACAACACTAAATTAATTTCCTGTCTTGGGTGGGTCCAGAGCATTCCAGTAAGGTCACAAGTATGTTATGGACTGTGAAAGAGTAAAAAATATGCTCCCTTCTTTTGCAAGCTTCCCCAAGATCCATGTGAATGAAGCACACTGACCTCATGCTTTCATGTAAAGTATTATTGATATCAGAGCTGGCAGAGGAAAAGGATGACTGGGCCAGGCAAGGACTGAGCAGGGAGGCGCTGTTAGCATATTTTGACATTCGGCCTGTCTCTGGCTGAGAACCTTGAAGATCATCCATGCTTATCCCTCTGAATATAGATTTCTTTTCCTTAGGAATAGAATTTTCAGCAGGACACCCATAAGCAAGCTGTGACGTGCACTCATAGCCAGCAAGTGGCTCTCTGAGGGTTCCACCCATCATGATCATCACCGGGTTATCTTTGCATCTTCCCTCAGTCCTGAGTCTCTACTCCACTCATTCTAGTTGTCTGACGGTACAGGCTGCACAGAGTCAATCAAGCAAGCATCTATCTATAGGGCCCAGTTATGGGCCTAGTGCTATGTATCTTCTTCTTTTTTTTTTCCCTAAGGATTGGCACCTGAGCTAACATCTGTTGCCAATCTTCTTCTTTTTTTTTCTTCTTCTTCTTCCCAAAGCCCCCTAGTATATTGTTGTATATTCTAGTTGTAAGTCCTTCTAGTTGTGCTATGTGGGATGCTGCCCCAGCATGGCCTGATGAGCGGTGCCATGTCTACTCCCACGATCTGAACCAGCAAAACCCTGGGCCACTGAAGCAGACCATGCAAACTCAACCACTTGGCCACAGGGCTGGCCCTTGTACCTTGTATTGTCCATGTAAAAGAATTCTGTGACTTAGTCTCTTTCTGCCAAGTTTGGAAGACAACGTGAGCATGTCCAAAGTGATTAAAAAGTTATAAGTATCTAAATAGTAATGCGAACCTCCAAGGTAGGAGTCCTACAGTAAGGGAATTCAAGGTTGGCTTTAGTTCCGTGATGGAAAGGACCTGAGCAAGAGGAATTCAGCTGAGCCTTGGAGGATTGGTAGGTTTAGAGAAGGGTGTTCCAAATAGTGGGAACTAAAACCACAAAGGCTGAAGTGTGCAGAGTAGGTGTGTGGGACTGGGGTAGGGGACTGAGGAAGAGGGTGAGGTCAAATGACAGGAGAATTGAGACTATTGAGACTATTATACGGGGAGTTGCATAAAGTCAGTGAGGAACCAGGAGGAGCTAGATACTGTGTGTTGGCTGTTTTACCTCGTTTTTAGGGCTGCAGTGATGGCCTGGCACAGAAAGCTCTCATTTGTCCTTAGTCCTCTCTCTCACTCCCACCGCACACCAGCACCACAATCCATCGTGAAGAAGGGTTGTTCACACCAAGAATGGTGTGCTTGAACCCACCCTGTTGCTGACCAGGAACAAAGGCTCAGACTTTCAAGCACCCTTGTGCATTAAGTGCATGGCCTCTGCACACTGACCTCAGCTCCCAATGGGAGGCTGCTTTCTAGAAAAGATTTCACCAACTGCCTTTCTGCTTCAAGATGGTAAAACCAGCATTCAACTCTTTTGGTTTTAATTTTAGTTCTCGTTCAACACTTCCCCAGTGAAAGAGGCAAAGAAGAGAATTATCTTTCTCAATATTCCCTGTTCTCAGCAAAAATCACATAGGTCTTTTTCCCTTCAACAACCAGAATACAAGTTCTCACCTGCTTCTGGGTCCTGATACAATGCATAAGTAGGGTTTTTATGTATATTTCTCTGGCTGGACTGTGAGCTCTCCAAGGACAAGACACTATGCCCCACGTGCCACATTCGTCTTTGCACCCCAGTGCTTAATAGAGTGGCTGATGCCTATTGAATATTAACAAATAGAAAAGGAGAAAGATTCCAAAAGAGTTTCTAGCCTTTGTCCTGAAATTCTTTCTAGGACAAAGCAGATCATGAATGAATGAATGAATGCATGCATGCTTACTCCACCCAACACAGTGCCATTAAACTCCTTAAGTTTAGGTTAATGTTTCCTTTAAACTGAAAAAGATTGGATGTCCCCATTAAATCATGAAGTCTTTTCCAAAATGCCAGCTAGCGATGAGCAAGGTCTTATACTCACACAGGGTAATTTTGCTAAAGAGGAGAGTGCAGGTTAGGTTACAGAGTTTCAGGTATTTATTGGGAAATTAGAAGATGGTGACACCACACAATGGACCGCTTTATGTGTCTCATGTGATGGAAGGAAGGGCTCAGATTATGGGAAAGGGTGCTAAGGAGGGAGATGAAAGTGCACAAAAGACCACATTGCTTCTTCCTCATTTGACCTTTAGTTAATTAAGTTGCACAATTTTGCCACATTCAAGGAAGAGACCATGTTCTTATCCCTAGAAAACCATTCCTTCCCTCTAAATGCAGAATTTAGCAGTTTTTCCAGAAGTTCTTGTGCACATCAGGCTGAAGTCTTTTTTCTCCCCCCTAAAAAAAATTTCTATGGAGAAAAGAGAAAAATGAGCATTCTAAAATCAAATAGGGATCTAGAAGAGGAAAAGAACAAGACACTACTGGATTTATTAAGAAAATCTGTGTCACAAATAAATTATTAAGAAACTGCAATATTACCTTTAAAGAAAATTCCCCAAGGTCCCTAAAAATTAGCTAGGATAAAGGTGACAATTTGGTGGCCTTTTTTAGAGGCCTAGTGCATAAACGTTAAGAAAATGCCCCCAAAGTGCTTGCATAGCTTTCTCCAACATGGGTATTGCCTTATTTTTCTTTGGATTTTAGCACTTTTTATCACCAATTCGAGAACTAACTAAAATTAATTTATCTTGTCCAAATTTGTCCCAGTGTTTAAAAGGACACACCATCCAGTGGCATTGTATTTAGGTCGATCGGCAGTTTTGCCAAGAAGAGAACAGAAGTGAGGTGGAATGATGTAGTCACGGTGGCAAAAGAAATTCCTCAAACTGAAGACACAGATGTCTCCTTTGGCTATCACACCATGGCAGAATCCTGAGCCTCATGCTTTTTAATAGCCACTCCCTCCACTCCTGCCCACAAGCACACAATGCACTCATACACCCTCACCTCTACTTCCTTCTGGGAGCCTTTCCTGCACAGCTCTCACTCACCCCTCCTTTCTAAAAACACCTAGAGATAATATCCACTCTGCATCTTATTGTCTGGCTCTTCTAGTGTTTCGTATAAGCACTCTCTGTCTCTAATCAAACTGCAAAGTCCTTGCGGATGAGGGACTGTGCTTATGTACTATTTCTCTTAAGACCCTCACCTGGTCCTTATGTTGTGTTGAATTTGTCCTAAGCACTTAGAATGTAATGGTTGATGGATTGTTCTAGATAGAACCTCTCATCCTGAAGGTCTGTTTAGTATCTCTATCTTAAGTGAAAATTTTTCAAACATAAAGTCTTCTGGAGTCCCCAAGAGAAAAGAGAGAGTAGAATTTACCATCACTTTCCCTAATTCAGCCAAGGAAAAAGTAACAAATTATACACAAGGGCAACTATAGGGAGGTTTCTCATCCAATCATATTTCCCCCTCTGGAATATATGTCCTGCGTCATGGATTGACTGTGTCCTTGAGATCCAAAAGGCCAAGAAGTTGTCCCACAACATCAGAAAGAAAAGAAAACAGATATTTTTCCTCAAAAACTTTGGCATTAACTCCATAGGGGGACACCTTGGTGTCAGAAATCATGTAGAAACTCCATTTCCTGGTGATTACAGACATGTTTCATCGGTGGCAGATTCCCAAAGGGTATATCTGTCTCCTTTATATCACTTGAATTGCCTTCAGATTGCAAGCTTCTTCAGGCCATGAACTTGTTCCCTTTGATTTTGTAGTTCCCTCCATTTCTCCTAGAGATTGATTACATGGTATTCAATAAATATTTGATTAAATGACACCTTCGTTTGTGATTTTTATTTCAATTACTGGTATGCATTATAATAGTTACTCTCAGTCAGGGCAATAACTCTCCTCCCACTAACGTGGTATCTTGAAAGGATTTTGTTCCTTAACTGAGGCTTATAATCTACATTGATCAGTGAGCTGATATAGCAGAAGGGTGAAGAGTTCAGTCTCAAAGTCAAACTACAGGAGCTTGTAACCTGGCTTTGCTACTTATTTCTTGCGTGAACTTGGACAAGTTTCTTATCTTCTCTATATCTCAGTTTCTTTATTTGATATGGACTTGTTATGAGGAGTAAATGAGATGATCTACATAAAGTACTTAAAACAGCACCTGGTACCAATTAAATGTTCAGTAGATATTAGTTATTGTTAGTCATTCTTCTTGCCCAGCTCCAGAGGGTAAGTCAGCCACCTGGAGTTCTGGACACATTCTCTTTGGACTCTGAATTTGGAACCTCCACTCTGAAACAGAGATTCTTTCCTGTACAAGAAGGAAATTTCCAGGGCCTCATATAGATGATTTTTTCTTAAATTTTATGTGATCAGACCAAAGTCTGATAGAAATACTTAGAATTGGATAGTATTTTGGAATGTGTTGTGATCAACATGACCTGTGAAAACAGCTGAGTGATTAACTTCTTGAAGTGGGTGTCAAGAAATTGCTATCTTATTTATGTTTCTAATTCTGAGACTGCACTGTCTGGAGAAATTACTTTCTTTTTGTATTTAGATTTTCCTTAAGATAATCTCTGAAAAATAATATTCTTTCCTTTTCTACTGTTGGAGAATGTCCAAAAGCCCTCCAAGCGTTCCTTCCAAACAGGAGCTAAACACGAGGAAATAAAAACCCTTCCTGGTTTGTAGTTTCTCAAATCTATCTTTCTGTTTCTGCAATAAACTAATTGAGAAAGAAGTTGGATGATTTTCTCTCATCAAAAACAGAATTCACAAAGAGGAACCTATTGCATGAGGGAAGACATTGTTTAATATGGATTCACTTTCAGGGTAGGATAACATTAGGTAGGAATCATTTTGTTGAAATTTTTCTATGACCTGAGTTAAGATTGCAAAATGCAAATCTCAAGTTATCCTGAGAACCCTCCACAAGGATGTCAGTGATTTTACAACTCTCATCCAAGTACTCTTGAATCTTTGGTTAATCAGAATAACGCAAACTTGGCCAATCTCAGAAGTCCCTGAGTATTCTGAAACAAATATTTCTTTTTTTTATTGAAATATACTTGATGTATAACATTGTGTAAATCTAAGGTGTACAACATGTTAATCTGATACATTTATAAATTGTAATATGATTGCTATTGCAGTGATAATTAATACCTCTATCACATTACGTAATTATCCTTTTTTAAGTGGTTGAAATAATTAAGTTCTAGTCTCTTAGCAAGTTTGACGATTGTAGTGCAATATTGTTGTCTATGTTCACTATGTTCACTGCACATTAGATCTTGGAGCTATTTACTACTCATTGCAAGTTTATGCTTTTGAACAACATCTGTCCTAATACAAATATTTCTGAAGGCATTCTTCACCACAGATAAGAAACTGTCTTGTTAGTGAAGAAACAGTAATAATAGCAAGTGACATCCCAGCATATCTCTTTATAATTTATAAATGTCATTTTATATACCTTACCTCATTTAATCCTCACAATATTGGAATAGGTTATAA